GTGGGAAGGAAAAACTCCCTTTTAACAGGAAGAAACCTCCAGCAGAACCAGGCTCAGGGAGGGGCGGGGCCATCTGCTGTGATTGGGTGGGGTGAAAGAAGGACCTGGAAATTTTTCAGGCAAATCTGAGGTGGTCAGCTGAGTCTGAGTGCTGATGGACTTACATGCAAAGAACAGGAAGTCTTGAACTACATTTTGTGCAAGTACTGCAGATGTAGCAGATGTGTGGATTGTGGGACAGGGAGGGGGCTGCATATCAAAATTTCAGCATTTGCACAAATGCCTGGAAATAAATTAAATGGAGGATTTCTATTGGCAGACACAATTGGTTTGGGTGATACACTGACTGCTTCCCATACAGTCAATGTTCAAGCAGAAGCCATATGCTCTATTTAAAACCCATAATGTTTATTAGGCTCTGTCAAAATAAGGTGTTCTTCTTTTTCCACGTACTAATACAGAGCAGCAGCAGACGTTTGAAGGTTTCTTACCAGGCCGTGTGACAGAGGAAAGGCATATCTGAAAAGAACCTCAAAAATATCTCTTCTGCTGTGGCCTTCCTGCTTCAGGGCAAACCTCAAATTCCTCATGTCCTGGTGACACAACAGATCAAACACTTCACTGTTAACACGCAACATGTAAGACCTGCAAAACAGATACAACTAAAAGAAAGTGTTGCTGTGACACTTTAAGCTACCAGCACATGTACACGATGGCAGAGATGAGACTTTATGTTCTTTTTAAATAAAAATCCAGTAACTGTAAAAAAGCAAATGACTTCTGAACATTAAACACACACCTTGCAAGTAATATCCAGGCCGTAGGAGTTTTCTCCTCTGCTCGACGCCCCGCCCATCTTCTCCACTCGACTGATGGCGCCCAATGGAACGTCCAGCGTCACCGTCACATCCTGCAACGCAAAGTATGACAAATATAGTCATGTGACCTCAGCAACAGGAAGCTGTTCTGTTACGCGAGGTCCGGCGTGTATTAAAAACAGTGCACGACACACACACAGCTCTTATTTAAGAGAATGCAGTGGAATAAACTTTATGCCAAACTTTAGGATGCTCCCAAACATTTTAGGATACTGAAAACAAGCTCCAGGTACGAGCCTTTAGCAGAGGTAAAAAAACACTCTGCCTCAGGTATGACCACGGAAATGCAAATGTAACGATCCCACTTGTCCCGTACACGTCACGTACTTTGATCTTACTCATGCCTCGCAGTTTTTCCCAGTCTTACCATCAAAGACAAAACGACGGCAGAAAACATGAAAATTTGAGTGATTGTGTCACCAAACACGATACCTGCCCCGACGGCCTGCTCCGCTACATTAATGGTGAATAATGCATGCTCCAGTGCCAACAGGTCATTTATTATAAATGACTTGTTCTGTAAAACTGGACTTTATAATAATCTCTGAGATGTGACGGCGTGAGAAGGAAGTCATGCATCGTTTAACTGTCGTAGGAATTTCTGTCCACCACAGAACGGCTCCTGGTACTAATGCTGAGAGTTTCATATGATCTCTGTCAGCTTCAAGACTTCATCTTCTCAAGGATAAAGTAGTAATCAACACTGTGAAAAACTAACATTCATGCTGATGGTTTAGCCGACAGTGTTGCTGCCTCACCACCTCCCCCTGCCACACTCTCACCCATCTACTCTAAGGACACTCTCAGATCATGGTCTTCACACTGATCTTCAACATATCTTTGGCTCCTTCCTGTTTCAAACATTCAACAATCACTCCAGTAACCAAGAAGCCCTCTGTGACACCTGCAGGACGCCACCTGTAGGTTGTGTGCAGACAGGTCGGGGACGATGCCGTCGACATAGAACTGCATAAATCCTTCATAAGAAA